AGAGGTGAAGATGGAGGAGGAAAGATGAAGGAAAAATAGATGAAAAGATGGAGGAGGAGATGGAAGAACAATGGAGGAAAGATGGAGGAACGATGGAGAAAATGACTCAAAGTCTATCCACAATGACTAAAACTTGTCTAAATGTCTAAATCAATCTGAGCCACACGCAAGAAATTTCTCTAAAACTAGAAAAACTGACAAACTGCCTGAAGGTTTTCCATACACTCTGACATAACAAACCTCCATTCTTCTGTTCCTACTGTTCTTTCATATCTTTCAGTCTAAACTACTGGACAGCCTTCATTCCTCCACACCTTCACCAACAGTGTAGCTAAAAAAACAACCCATTTCTCTCACATTTAACCACATGGATTCTGCGTCCTGTGGGAACCCTGAGAGAGGAGGCAAAGTTTTCATGGCTGCAGTCAGAAATAAAACACAAGCTACAGTTGTACAGCAGAAGAACAGAGGAGCTGAGAGGCCGACAGGTGAGGCTCACCGATGGCCTGAGGGGACACCAGGTGACAGAAGAGGGAGGCAAACATGATGAGGATCATGGGATACGTGACCCAGGCCAGGTACTGCAGCGGCACGTTACCCTTCAGCTCGCCGTGGATCCATTTATAGGCTGCAAACAGCACAAAGAGGACAGGAGAGGAGCATCACTCAGCAGGCAGACCGACAGACTGCAGCTCTGACGGCGGTAATCGTGTCTCCGGTACCCTGCAGGCTCTTGGCGCTGGCGTAGTCCATCGTCCAGCTGACCAGCGCCATCGTCAGCCCCAGGAGAACCAGGAAGATCCAGTCCTCGCCCATCTTCGTGACGATGTAGCGCCGCACACGAGCCAAGCAATCTGGGACGGAAACATCAGATTGTCATCGCACTTAGTCACTGACAGGTGGATTAAACGCAGCGCTGCTCAGGTGTGGTCAGGTGAGCAGCAGGTGTAAAGCAAGTGCAGCTGATCTGAAGGTTCTGATCATCAGTCAGAACATCAGATGCATTCACACAACCAGACATCCCAGAGACGTCACCGGCTAATTAAAATAAATGATATTTCTGAGACAGACGTGTGTAAAAATAAATTAACTGTCAGCGGACAGTAAATGTGCAATTAAAACCACATTAATTGCACATTAAACTGCTGCAAACCAGCAGGAAGCAGCTTCAAAACAAAACATTTAAAATATACATGATTTCACTCTGTGGTGCACAAAAGACAAACACTCAGCTGGAGGCGTCTCTCACTCATATCTCATGTTTTTGGCAGATTTATTAAGTTTTATGATTCATATGTTTGTTTTTTCTTCCACCTTTTCTGATCCATCAAGAGCAGTTTTATTTCTCTTTATATTCTGAGGGTCTTGATTATTTTCCAGGATTTTCTGTTTATGGAGGGACGAAAACGGTTAAATCTTCTCTGTAAAAACACGATATATTAAAGATTTATAGTATTCTATTCTATTTATAGTATTTGTTTTAACAGGTTCCTTCTGGCTGAAAATAACATGAAGAAAAGACAGTAAGAAACAGTTGAAAGCAACAGGAGCGTTTAGGTTTGTATAGTATGGCACTGTTGCAGCACATTTTAACAATATAAAGGATCATTTTAGACACGGCATATTTCACAAAAAGGTAAACAAGAAAACATAAAAACAGTTCAGATTCATCATTAACATCTCTAACACAACGTCTTGCTGTCTTTTGTCGATTGTTTGTGTCATTTCCAGTCAAAAAAAACCTGCTGCTCAAATAAAAGTCCACCATAAATCAAAGTTTGAGGTGTAACTGCACATAAACAGTCTAAATGTGTCAGATTAAAGTTTAACGGCACAGAAGTTCATCAACAAAAAGAAAAAGTTCCCTTTTCTGAATGTTAACGTTTAGATTTATGTGTTTTTGATCAAAAATCATTAAAAGCTCCTTTTCAAACACATGCAGAGTCTTTGTACGGCGACTTCAGGTTTCTAAAGCTGCTGATGGTGCCAAAAGCTTTGAAAATTGTATGTAGATGTTTAATTAAAGAGCTAAATAAAATGTGAAAAAAAATAATAATAAAAATGCACCTGTTGGTAGGAGATTTAGTTTGATAGGTCTGCGGGAGGTAAACTAAGGTGAAGTCTGGCTGGTGTTAAGCCCGTGGCCTCATGCATCATATTTTAACTGCATCATATTTTATGAGCTCATCATGTTGCATGTAAAACCATAATGTGCAAAGTAACCAGAAATTAAAACCATCCGATAAATGCTGGTCTCTCTGCAGAGCGGCGCGATAAAACGATGATGTTTTAATTATGAAAAACAAGATTAAAAAGCTTCATTCTTTACAGGGTGCTCATTGAAATACTTTGGAATTTAAATATATATTTTTTTCTTTTCTGAATTTTAAAGAAAGTTTTAGATTTAAGCTGCAAATCAAAGTCGAAGCAGGTATCATAAACGATTTGTCGCCCATCTAGAGAAAAAAAAATCTAAATAACGTGTGGATAAATTATTGTAAAAAAAATACACATATTAATAAAAAATCACCAGACACGTGTGTGAATGAAGATATCACTCCTGCTCACTCGTGATTGGTCAGAGGCCATAGCAACTGACCATCGCTGATTGGCTGGATAAAGTCATGTGGTTCTTTTATTTTTAAAGGAAGTAACCATATATGGTCCTTTCCCCATAAAAGGTTAACGAATGTGTGTAGAGGACTTTGAGTGCAGCTCCTGAGGGTTGCTCACCTTGGCATTTGGAGTAGGGGCGGGGCTTCTTGGTGGAGGAGGCGTGGCTGTGATGCGAATCCAGGGTCGCCGGGTGATGATGCAGGTGATGCCGTCGGCCTTTCCGGCCCGACGCCGAGCTGTTGTCTCCCGCCTGTCGCCGCCATTGTCTCTCGGTCAGCAGACGGGCGGCCTCCCGCCGGGCGAAGTTTCCCAGCTGCTCCCTGTACTCGCCGTAGAGCTGAAACAAAGAGCGAAGGGACGTTCACNAATCAGTCTGAAACAAGTCAAAAACTAGACTAAAACTAGTCCAAATGAAGTCCAAAACCAGTCTAAATCTAAGTCTAAAATAAAACTAAAACCAGTCTGAAAACAAGTCAAAGTCAAGTCTAGAATTATTCTAAAACCAGGTCCAAAACCAGCCTAAAACCAAGTGTAAAACCAGGCTGAAACTAGCCCAGAACTACACTAAAATCAAGTCCAAACCAAGTCCAAAATCAGTCTGAAAACAAGACAAAGTCAAGTCTAGTTTTGGTTTAAAACCAGGTCCAAAATCAGCCTAAAACCAGACTAAAGCTAGTCCACAACCACTCTAAAATCAAGTCCAAACCAAGTCTAGAATCAGTCCAAAATCTAGTTCAAACCAGGCTACAACCGATTTAAAACTGATCTAAAGTCCGTCTGGATTATATGAGGAGGCTGAGACCGACTGAATCAGAAGAACTGTAGAAGTTCTCCAAGATGCCGGAACAACCTCCCCGACAGGAACATCAAGAACCTGAGAGCAGCTAAAGAGAAGTGAGGACAACGTTTTCTTGTTCCTTCAGAAACTCTCCGTGGCAGCCGTCAGATAAACGACACCACAGAGAAGACGTTTAACAACAGACGTCACCAACACCACTGACAGAGCCGATCTGAGCAGATCTGAGCTGGATGAGCTCCACAGATGGACTCTGGAGGGTTTGAAGGATCCTACAGGCTGAACAATGACATCATTTATTCACAGGATTTACTTTTACTGCCTGAAACCTTTGCACAGAACTGTTTACTGACAAATGTGTCTGTTTCTGCACATTGATTCAAACTGAGAAGGACAACAGCAGACGACGATAATTTACTGTTTAATCACCAGATGATCGTCATGATTAACTGATTAGCTGTTGGGCCTCTTCAAAGTCGTTCTTTAGTCTGATTAACAGCCAAAATTACATCCTTTGTTAGTTTCTCAGCCATCAAAAACAAACACAAAGCAGTAAATCTACACATTTAACAAGATGGAAGACTGGTGCTTTTACCCTCTGAAGCGTAACGGGTTTAAAAAGCATCTAATCTTTTAAAAAAATTGCCAAGATGACACCGTTTACCAACCAGGAAGTGAAAAAAATTAAAAGAACTGGACTTTTAAGGATTGTGAAAACATGTAATGTGCAGTTTTATCAGGAAATGAAACCAAATCTAAACTCAAAACTATAATATCTGATCAAAATCCCTCAATTGACCCACATGTTTTGTTTAAAAATTAACTAACGACTGAGAGAGAACCAAAATGAGACACAAAACAAGAAAAACAAGACGTGAGACAAAACTGTCCCAAAGAGACAAAAAGCGACAGAAGCGAGACAGAAAACAACAAAAACGAGACACAAAGACACACAAAATGGCAAAATTGAAACAAAAATACCACAAGACAAAAAAAATCAGACACAAAATGAAGAAAACAACGTGTTGCAAAATGACAAGAGACCAAACTGTCCCGAAATGACACCAAACGACACAAGTGTGATGGTGAAGAGATAAAACTGTCCCACACAGACAATAAAACAACCAAAATAAAACACAAAATAAGACATAAAATAAGAAAAACAAGACAGAAAATGACAGAAGCTAGACACAAGAGGACCAAAAGAGACAAAAAAAAACAAAAAACAACCAAAATAAAACACAAAATGACAAATTAAATAAGAAAAACAAGATGCAAATGACAAATGGGAGACAAAATTGTCCCAAAGAGACATAAAAGAACAGAAGCGAGACAGAAAACAACAAAAACGAGACACAAGAGGACCACAAAGAGACATAAAAAGGCAAAATTAAGACACAAAACGACACAAGTGTGATGGAAATCAACAAAAATGAGACACAAATGGATCACAAAGAGACAAAACTGTCCCACGGACACAAAAAACAACCAAAATGAGACGTAGAATAAGAAAAACAAGGCGCAAAATGACAGACGGGAGATAAAACCGTCCAAAAAAGACAGAAAACAACAGAAGCAAGACAGAAAACAACAAAAAACAGACACAAAAGGAGATAAAAATGTCTCAACGTTAAAATACAAACAGTTAAATATCTGTATTTATCAGTCTGTCTCTGGTTGTGGAGCCTCCATGTTCTGGACAAACACATTCAGAAACGTTCAGAGGGTTTTAACCAGCATCAGCCTTCCAGCATGAGCCGAGCTTCAGGCCTCAACGCTGCACAATGAAAAACAAAACGGCCATTTAAACGTCTTAAAGCAACCAGGACGGTGTGGTCGGGTTCTACTGTACCTCCTAATGGAGTCCCGAAGCAGCATCCCACCCCCACAGCACAGCCCACAGTCAGAATATCTGTGTACCCATAAGGGTTCTACTGACACAGAAAACAGAGGAGGAAGGGAGGGAGGTAGGGAGGAAGGGAGGAAGGGAAGGAGGTGACGGAAGTGAAGGTGACAAGAAACCAGGAGAGAATAAAAGATGAAGGAGGAGGAGAATGGAAGAAAGTGAATAAATAATGTTCAGTGAGGAAGATGGGAAACATCACGCAGAGTAACCGCAGCAACCACAGCAACCACAGCAGCCAGAGCAACCAGAGCAACCACAGCAACCGCAGCAACCGCAGCAACCACAGCAGCCAGAGAAACCACAGCAACCACAGCAACCACAGCAGCCACAGCAACCAGAGCAACCACGCAGCCAGAGCAACCACAGCAACCAGAGCAACCACAGCAGCCAGAGCAACCACAGCAACTACAGCAACCACTCTGACCACAGCAACGAGAGCAACTAGAGCAACCAGAGAAACCAGAGCAACCAGAGCAACCACAGCAACCAGAGAAACCAGGCTGAAAGAAAGCAACAAAGCAACCAGAGAACAAACACAGCGATCACATCGTCCTCAGAGACGCATCGGTTGCTATAACCATCGGCTGACCTCCACACATTCGTAGTAATTTAAACAACCCATAGGAAAGTGTTCCAGAAACATCAGACTGGTCCTTTAAAGTCGACAGAACCTGCAGTGTTTCACTATTATAGTTGCATCTTACCTGAGGCCAGCTATAGAGACGTGTGTCTGTGAACAGTCTGTAGCTCGAGTGCTTCATTTCTAACCAGCTGATATTTTACAGGTGAGCAACAAATGGCCTCTACCACTAGAGGTCAAAGGTCACCGTTTCAAAAATGGCTACTAGCTTGCGCTACTGGAGGATCTCAAGTTTAAAATATAATGGCAACATCAACAATTCTTGACCTTGAAATATCACCCCAAGGTCAAATTAAGGGTTTAGCACCAAAGTGGGCCAAACCATGAAACATCCAAAGCTGAGTGTGTACGGTCTACTAGTTTGTGGCAAAGTGGTCCGACCAACAGCCCACTGGTAATGTCACAATGTGACTTTGAAGTTTAGCTCATAATCGGTTTGGCATGAAAATTTAGTGGCAAACCGGACCATGTTCCAAGAATTGCTGACCGTTATATGACAGGCGCAGGTAGTTACACGTGTTTGCGATTCAACACAGTGGACAGCGACCTCAAGTCCCGTAAAAACTCAACTCGTAGGTACAGTAAGGTAAAATAAAAACTTAATTAACCACCACCAAGCATCTGTTTCTACCCCAAGACAAACCTTGAAAAGTAGAAAATGTGGTATGGCCCGCTTTGGCACTAAAACTTCAATAAGTCATCACTCGGCAGCTGTTTCTATCTCTGGACAGTGTTGGAACATCTTTGGATGCATATAATGACTCCTCAAACAACCAGGATTTTTGTATTTTTAGAAGCACAACATTTTTAACCCCATTTTTCTCCAAAACTAGTAAATGTGGTTTGGCCCACTTTGGCGCTAACCCCCTCAGATGTTCCATCCCCAGTGGGAAGCCCATACATTGGTTTCCAATGCAAACAGTGCGTCTATCTCGCACTGTTTTCAAGCTACAGTGCAGTCAAAATGTATGACCTTGAAACATCATCCAAATTTATAATTGCATTTAGCAGACGCTTTTATCCATAGCGACGTACATCTGAGAACAGAGACACATTCATGCACCAATGGCGACAGAGCTGCCATGCAAGGCACCTGCCTGCCATTGGGAGCAACTTGGGGTTCAAGGACACTCAAGGACACTTTGACTGTGGAGGGGCGGGGGATGGAACAGCCAACCTTGCAATTAGAGGACAACCTACCACCTGAGCCACAGCCGCCCCACAAATGAAACATCACCAACGAATGCCCCAACAAGGTCGCTTATCTGCACCAAGCACCATTAATCTACCCTCCACCCTTTTGAAGGTATACTGCATTTTTGAAGACGTGACCTTTGACTTCTCGTGGAGCTATTTTTGCACTGATTGACCCCAAAATCCAATCATTCCGGGAAGAAGCCATTTCTAGCTCACCTGTAGAGCATCACCTGGTTTGACCTCAGCAGTCGAGCTACAGACTGTTCACAGACACATGGGACCGATTACTCTAGAACATGTGACATGGATAGAACCTTGGAGAACACCTATTTTGATGTACGTTGGACAGAAAACTGGTTTACTGGGACTCAGTGCACTCATTAATATCCCTCTACTTGATGAATAATTTGCTGGTCTGAGGTCAGATTTAGCCTCCACACTGAGCTGCTGGGTTTGTCTGAGGAGGATGAAGCTGACCGGAGACCCGGCGAAGGGGGCGGGACTTGCCTCCCACAGGGGCGGCGAAGCAGGTGGCCACTCCCACTGCACACGCACACACCAGCAGGTCCTGGTTATGGGAACCATTCTGGGGTTAAAGGTGGAGGCAGGCGGGGGACACGGGGGGAGGCAGGGTGGAGGGGGGAGACAGGGGAGGTCACTGTTAATACAACATGCCAGACATAACCGACACACTATTAATACAGAGAGACACAAACACAGGCTCGGCCGGGGGGCGAGTCACAGGGTCCGGCTGGTTCTACAGGACCGACTCTGAAACAAAGAGCTGATGAAACAGAG